TCTGAGTTAGAACTTGGACACCAGCAATTAATTTCACTTTGATTCCGTTTTTTAACTTGATGGGGTTTCTGCCTGTGGACTTAACCTTCACTTTCTGTTGTTTCCATTTCTCCTGCCTGAATTGTACAGTATGTAATTTAAGCTCTAAATTTGTGGTAAAAGTTATGAATGAGAAACAGTAATGACCAAAGTAATAATAAAGCTACTGTTGATTCAGTGCTACTGTGTATATGCCTGTCATCTCTAATCCTCTTAATTGACCCTGTATAACAGGCATTATTATTACCATTTTGTAGATGAGAAAATTGAGATTCAGAGAGATGGGATTCAGAGCCAGCTTGAAGTCTAGAGAGCTGACTCAAGAGAAGTAGTCAAGATGTTTTTCATGAAGAATGTAGGACTTGCTGGGCATTAAGGAATGCGTGGTGACATTTGAATAGTAGCATAAGAAAGTAGAGAAGGGGAACAAATCAAGTAAGGGCATAGAGGCAGGAACGTGCTCACAGTTCCTAAGACAGTGTAGAGACTTGCTGAATGAGAACCAAAGTTGCCTGGTGAGAGTCAGTGGGAGCTGAATGTAGGGTGAGACCAGATTGTGGTGGGCCTGAAAAGCTGGACAGGAATCTAGTTTAGTAATTGGTAGATAAAGGCCATTTGAAGGTTTTTGAGCATTGGAGTCATGTAGCATTTAGGAAAGCCTGTCTGGCAAGGCTGTGTGGGATGAGGAAGAAAGGGGAGAGTTGGAGTTCTGCAAGAAAGCCAGCTAGAAGGATATACTAGCAATACCAACCTTGGGCTTGGAAGCAAGGTGAAAGTGGGATTGGAGAAGGAAGGGGTGGACACCATAGAGATTTCAAAGAAGAAAGAATTGAACTTTGCAATGAGTGGCTAGACGGGTGTTGAGGGAAAGAGATAAAGATAACTTTGAAGTTGTGAGCTTGGCTAGCTGGAGAAAGAGAATGAGTTTCTACTGGCAAAGATGGAAAAGTTGAGAAGACAAGTGGTTGGAAAAAGAGAAGGGTGAGAGTTTGAGCCAGCAGGCTGATGCTGTGCCCACATTTCCAGTTACCAATGAGTTATTTGAACTCAGTGGAAAACCTGGTGTGACAGAGCCAAAGCAAGGCTGAGGATGAAAGGTGTCCACAGCCAGGTGCCCGAGTACCCAAAACTGGGGAGCATGGGAAACTATTGGTACAAATAGGAGAAGGGGTCAGAAACTGAGCAAATCATCAGAACTAGAGAATTTATGGGTATAAAAATGGTGTGGCAGGGGTGACATCTGACCTCCTCTAACTTCACAAAGGGGCAGGAGAATCAAGATCAGCAGCCCAAGGATGATTCCTATGAGTCGGAGGTCAGGCATGCCTCCTCCTTCTCCCGTTTTTACCGATTCTGACACCAACCGTCCCTCCCATGGCATTCTCTACTTCTCTGCTGGTTTTGATAATTCGTTGGAGTGGCCACACAGAACTCAACAGGCAATGCTCCCGATTACAGGGTTTATTAGGGAAGTAACAGGTTACAATTCAGGTTCAGGAATGCTCAAGACACAGTTCTTCTATAAGGACAGCCTCTTCTCAGCAGTGCCCGTAGGCACACATCTCTCTGGCCCCTCAGCCTCTTGGCCTGGCCTCTGCCCTGCTTGGGCAAGTGTAGCTCTTTTAGCTCTGCTGCTAAGTGCCCACAAGCACCACACTCCACCAGTAAGTCTCGTGCATGAAGGTATTCAGCTTTCTCACTCCACGGGCCATAAAGCCCAACTGCAGTTGTCTCTTGCTGGTCTCCTGATTTCTGCTGTCTCTCACTGTCTTCCATGTTACAGCTCCTCTCTCTGTCTCCTAGTTCAAGGACATCCCCAGTGAAGGCATCCCAGGTCCAAAGGACTTGCTATACTCCTGGCTCTTCTTTCTTGGTGGTGTTGAGATCCATCGTTCTTACCCCTGGGATGGTGCCAGTAGGCTGGCAAAACTGACCAGTTTCCTCATTATGGTTCCACACACCTTAATTGCATGGTCCCACCCCCACAGTGGTGCCATGCACCTTATTTACATTATTAGCAAGCTATCTAATCCCCTTGGTGGGGCACAAGTACCTCATTTGCATAGTCCCACACAGTCATTTGGTGGGAGTTAGAAAAACTATGGTGGTGGTGGTTGTTGCTACGGGCCGTCAAGTCAATTCCAACTCATAGCGACCCTGTGTACAGCAGAACGAAACACGGCCTGGTCCTGCACCATCCTTGTGATGGTTGTTAATGCTTGAGCCCATTGTTGCAGCCACTGGGTCAATCCATCTCATTGAGTGTCTTCCGCTTCTTCGCTGACCCTCCACTTTACCAAGTGTGATGTCCTTCTCCAAGGACTAGTCCCTCCTGATAACATGTCCAAAGTATGTTCGCCATCCTTGCTTCCAAGGAGCACTCTGGCTGTACTTCTTCCAAGACAGATTTGTTCTTCTTTTGGCAGTCCATGGTGTATTCAATATTTTTCGCCAACACCACAATTCAAAGGCGTCAGTTCTTTTTTGGTCTTCCTTATTCATTGTCCAGCTTTCACATGCATATGACTCGATTGAGTCAGGCGCACCTTAGTCTTCAAGGTGACATCTTTGCTTTTCAACACTTTAAAGAGATATTTTGCAGCAGACTTGCTCAATGCAATGCGTCTTTTAATTTCTTGACCGCTGCTTCCATGGTTGTTGATTGTGGATCCAAGTAAAATGAAATCCTTGATAACTTCAATCTTTTCTCCATTTATCATGATGTTGCTTATTGGTCCAGTTGTGAGGATTTTTGTTTTCTTTATG